CTTTCTTCAGGCTTGTATCTTTAGTTGAGTAGCTGTGCAAGCCTCTCTTATAATTTAAGCCATCTCTTTTCATTAAATGTTTCTCTTACTGTGAGACTTACAAAAAGCAAACTAGTGGCAAAGTAATGTTGTACCTATAATTCTGTACAGAATGACAATGAGCTGAATATAAGATTTTACAAAGTAGACATCCATTTGCAAAATGTTTTGGATGTAATATGTTAAAGCGCAATGTGCAAAATTTAAATAAAGAATATTTATTAATATGCATAGTAAAAGTTGGTGTACACGCTTCTACTTTAAACACTCCTTCCCAGCGGTCTGAATTCTTGCTGTTCAGGTGGACAGCTGTCGCTTCAGTCTGCGTAGCTTCACAGAGGTAGGTGTAAGGCGAGTAAACTTGCCTCAGAGAAGTACAGATGCTTCAGTGGTGCTCGTGAAAACCAGTCCGCCGGGCTGTGTGGTTTAGAGATCTTCGAGTTACTGCCAAACAAGCGGGCTCCGTGATACCCCGGTTGTGTCGGCGTGGCACTGCACCCAACCTGGCTGGCGCCGCTCGGCATGGAGCGGCTGTTCAACTTCCAGGATCTCGGATAACGTATCGATGTGGCACAGTGCTCTGCGGAGCTATCTGAGGTGTCCCTAAACAGCGTTGTGCTGTGTGGACGTACCGTATAAATCTTGACATTGCTGCTGTGCCCAAGGTCAGCACGCTTAGTTTGGTGATGGTACCAAATTTGTTGTGAGCATGCAGCCTGTACCATTTTGGGGCTTTAATTTAGGTTTTCATCAAGACGATTACTGGTGCCAGTGAGTTAGGAGATTGCTGTGTGCATTTTCCTTCTCCCCTGGCAACGCAGACTTAAAGCTTCTGCATGAGCCCATCAGAACGTAATCAAACAAAAAGCAGGTTTTTCAACACACCTTCATGTTTTCTTGATGGAATAATGAGCTCTGTTCCGAGGACAGAACAGGAGTGCTTTTGCTTAAATAGCCTTCCAGCCATATCTGGTTCTTGCAAATATGGTATCTAATGGTACGGCTTGTTTGTAAGAGGGTGATCAGACAAGCGGTGAAAATGTGGGGTGTGGGAAATTAAGAAAAAAGGAGTTTAAAACCTGGTACTAAATTGACAAGAGTGGAGGTGGTGGTACGGTTGTGTGCGGTAAGCATCCAAATTCAGCTGACATGACCTGCCTTCTGTGGCGTTGACACCTGGAAGCTGGTGTGTATTGGTGTGCATCTAGAGACAGAGGCTATTTGTTGTACAAGTGCAACTCGAAAAATGTAGGAATTAAAAATTGTGTATGCAAATTGAAATTGAGAAACAAATGCTTTCATCACCATAAAAAAAGCCCCAAATAATTTTCATATTTAAAGGAGATCATACTCTGTTAATGCACACCCCCACTTTGTTATTTTATAGCTGTTTTACAAAATCAGATGTAAAAATCATGTTCTTGAGTGAGCTTTAGCTTCATGATTTTTTTCCAAGTTAACTGGTAATACTGATAAATAGTCCCTTTGGGTATTGGTTAAGATGCGTTTACTGATTATTTCACTCAGTTACAAAGCACAGAAGAAAACTATAAAGATATGAATGCTTTTTTATGTGACAGTGCTTAGATTTTGGTAGCAGCTGCCACTAGAAGAAAATTCTGTTTTGGGGGAGAGTAGGCAGAATAACAGAATATCATTCCTAATTTCCTCATTTTTGTACTGTGGTCCCTTATTTTTTCTGATAGAGACAGGTTTGTTCTCTTGGCTTTGCTTCATGCTTCAGACCCATTATAAAGAGGCACTGTGCCTGGCGATGCTTAATTTGCCCAGGATTCTCACAAAGAACCTGAGAGTTAATTCATTGTGAATAACGGAGAACAGATTTTTAACTGTGAAATTCAGCTTCATGAAAACGAACCTTCAGCTTCCTCTGAAGCAGCATGGGCTCTGTTGCATTTGCTATTGGCAGAAGGCTAATTTTAAAGATGGAAACGTCTTCCTTTTTCGATGTGAGGAAGGGGAGTCCTTATCATGGTGGTTCTCTTTAATCAAATATAATCAAATACTCCGTTTGTCAGCTACAGGAGAAATGCAGTTAACTTCAAAGAGCGGAGCTGCTGGCTGCGTGCTGCTTGCGCTTGCACAAGGAGCTGGTTCAGATGTCCTGGGTAATTGATGAAACCATCACTTTTAAGAGGAGTGTTTGTTGTTTTGTGCTTTACCAGCAGCTGAAATGGTGGGGGGAAAAAAGGAATGAAGAACACTTTGTTTTAAATGCAGTGTTATTGCAGACTGGGTGCTCGGGGTCACGGCTTGGAGGAAAGCAATGAGCAGCTCAGCTGTCAGCAGGTGCTGTACCTGGTCTTTGCTGCTTGCAAAATGACAGCATCTACAACCGTCCCTATAGATTTCTTTATCGCCGAGGGGCCCTTTTCACTGCAACAGCTCCTGTGTCCCCCTGCCCCGGCGGGAGCCCTGTATTCGCTGTGGGCCCCGCACCTATCCAAGCTCAGCCCCCCCAGGAAACTCTCCTGCACCCCTTGCTCTGTTGGGTGAGATACACAAGCACTACTTCATTTTTTTTATTATTATTTTTTTTACAAAACCTAAAGAACCTGAATACATCTGTAGTTTATTCTTTACTTTTTGTTTTTTAAATTTTCAGTGGCAGGCTGCATAATCAACTCTAGGGGTTGGTACTTAGGAATTGGACTTTCAATAATGTTCTCTGTTGTGTGTCAGTTGAAAGTAGGTTTAAATTAAGCTGCCCAGCAGTGCGTGGCCAGCAGAAAGGGAAGGGGGAGGAAACACCTTCAAAAATGGCTTTCCCGGCATGTCCTTGCATTTTCCCCAGCGGTAGATGGACCCTGGAGGGCAGAAGTTCTGACCGACTCCAGAGCAAAGGGGGTTATCCCTTAAATTCATCCCAGTTAAACTGGGCAGCTCGTTATCCCAGCACGGTGAGGGTGGCAGAAGCGCACCTGGGTTCACAAGGCACCTGGACATACACACGCAGAAATGGTCGGGCTCGAAGCTGCCGAGGCTCCAGCGCATCTCCTTCTCCTCTCTCAGGTTTATCCTCATTTTCTAAACTTCTGCTACTTGTCGCTACTGAAGATGCTTCTGCTTTGGAGGGAATTTGTTCTGTCCCGCTGTTTAACTGCTTTACGGTTCTTACTAAACCCCTGGGAGGTCTGGGTGTCGGGACTGCGCGCTCTGCTGCAAGAGAAGTCACACCCAGGAGAAAAATCCTCAAAAGCTGCATTCCATAGAAAGCCTCATTTCCCATTTCTAACTAACCTGTTCCATGTGGAAGGTGAGAATGGCCCATCTGTCTTATTCGAGAGGCGCCTAGGATTTTGCCGTGAACCTCACGAAAGACTGCAGCTGGATCCAAGCACCAGTCAAAAACCTATTTTTATTTATCTCTCCCTCGTATACAGCTGGTCTGCATCACCCGAACCTGAGTCGGGGCCCACGTTTAAGTTCCTGGTATTACCTGCATCTAGTGGGGAGCCTGAATGTCGCTTTTTGAGCAGCAACGTGCACCTATCTCGGATAAACGCAGGCGGGGAGCTCTGCACGACCACCACCCGCCCTGCTTTCATGTACCGCTGGCTCTGTCTCCCCCAGTGATTTGAACACCCATGTGGTTTGGATGCCCAAAATCTTAGATTTGATAGAAAGATAGTTTTGGCGAGAACCGCAAGTGCTTATCCCTCCTTCAGGTCTGCGCGTTTATTGCCCGCGGTGGGGACTGACTCGTCTGGTTGCTCACGCTCTTGTATTTACAGCTTCCCATGTGCCCGCAGCAAGCAGAGAAGGGCTGGCCAGGGCTCGCTGCCCCATTTCCAACAGCCATCTCTATTTCTGCAGAGTTTAAACAGAATTGTCAAATCCCAACCCTTTCTTCTTTTGTAAATCAAATAAATATCTGTGCTTTTGTCTCTTCCGTTTCACTCCATCTGTCTCTTCTAAAGTTTTTGCAAATTATTCAAGCTGCTGCCTGGTCCTTGCAAAGGGGATGACAATCCCTTCCCAAAGCTGCTTCATCTTTTGCCAGAGCTCTGCCTTCTGATCCCACCAAACATGTTTTCTCCCTCCCAAACTCACTGCCCGTCCTCCCTCGGTGGTTATTTGGGCTCCGTTTGTCCATCCCGGCACCCACAGCTCCTTCCCAGGGCTGTGGTTTTTTGGGACGTCAGTGGGTGCTAGCTGGGTGCAAGCGTCTCCTCTGCAGCCAGAGGGACCCGCTGGCAGCACCCTCTCTGCTGCGGGGCGACTGCGGAGAAGCAGCGAAACAGAGGTAAAAGATTCCCCCGTCGGTCTGATTTTCAGAACCCGTATTGCATTTTTGGGTGCTTTTTGACTTCTGTGTTGAAATAATGAAGCAGCCTTCTCCTCCTCGCCGTAGGTATGAGTGACCGGGTAATTCAGTCGGTGACAGGGTTACGATATAGCTCCTGTAACTGTTACGTGGTTGAAGAGAATGGGAGTTAATGCGTCCGTTTCATGCTACTGAACTATTTTTGACTTAAACCAGCCCGTCTCTATTTGTCACCCAGCTGACGTAACGTATTTTACCTTCAAGTCATTTGACGCCGTCTCACCTTTCTGATATCGGGACTCTCCCTTCTCACGGGGGACGTTTTGGCTCGACAGCGCCAGCCGGTCGTGACCGA